TCGCCGTCTGGCGAACCAGATTTTGACCAGAGAGAATACTGGATCCAAGTAAAGCGTCGATGCTAATCGAGTATTTTTGTGTTGTAAATTGACACAGACTACCGTAATAACATTTTGGACAAACACACGCAAAGTCGGTTGTAGGCTGCATCGGTTGGAGACAGTGACCACCATTTAAGCAATGACCCAAATGTGAACAATCACTATCAGAATGATTGAACAGGAAACAATCGAAATATGCATTATTATCGCACAAGCAGATGTATCGTTCGTCATAAAAACAATGAGTACCGAGAATAAAGCAGGCACGATGATAATATTTTACACGATGTAGATACGAATATTGCATGATAGTTGAGTTTTTGATAAGATCACCAACATAAGGACATCGATTAGACTCAAGTATGTTGGTGTGCATCGATGAAATCGCAAATACTGAGAGTCCGACTAAATGATAACTACCATATGAAGTATCGTGATGAGTATCAAAATAGATCTGAACCAAAACAAATGTCGGTAAAGCTGGATGGTTTTTGTAGGTAACTTTGATGGTCGTATCAAATGAGAGATCTTTAAACAAAAGACGATCATGTATGCTAGCGAGTCTAAGCATACTGCTAGTATTAATAAGGTGAACAAGCATTACCGGAATTTTTGCTATTAACCATGGATCATTCCATAGCTTTTTTATTCGTATATGGACGTTGGCCGCTGAGTTCTGGCAACGATTACCAAAATGCTCTTTTTGACAAAGACAAATGATCTTTTGTGACTTTATGTCAAATGATAGACAAGTTGAATTATGTTCACAACTATTAGGACGACAGAGATCAAGTTTTATGTAACAATTAACACCAAAATGACCTAATGGACAAATACATTTTGAATGAAATGGTAACGATACTGATGAACAATTCGACATTACTTTCTGATCACATAAATCGCCTGTCCAACCTGGATCACACAAGCAAAAATGTTTATTTGCATTATTTGCATACGACATACAATGACTATTTAATGAACATTCGATAGAACATAAAATTGACCTCATTTGATTTTCAATGATTATTCGTTTCGCTAAACGATTAACAGGTAAAAATGTAAATGACACTGGATAATGGTAAGATGAATGATGGGAGACATTATTTTTAGTTATTTGGAAAATATCAATATTGACAGAATATTGTTGATGTAGACCTGGAGTCAATAAATAGACAACGGTTTTATATGGTGTTTGATCATAGTTGATGAATGTAAAATCAATATAATCATAAAACATATTCGTTGATGTTTGAAGACGAATAAGGATTTTATATGTGTCAGCGTCATCTATTATCGTTGTTTCTAATCTCAAGTGAACAGTTAAACGTTCTTGCTGATATTGACATTTATCACCAAAATAAGCCGGAGAACAAAAGCATGTGTATGAGTCATTAACACCGTGAACTAATATACCATGATTACATGCATAAGTAATAGTTAAGTTATCAATCAATGAACGACGCGTATGAAACTGATGACGTACATGAAATGGTTGTTCTTGAATATAATTCATTTCATAGTGTATAATACCTATTGGCGGATATTGACTATGTTGATTGAATGAAAATGAGTCGTATGGACGAAATTGTGGTATTAAGTTACAATATAATTCATCTCGATCTTCATGATCATACCCTGAACACTCCCATACTCCATTACATTTTACATCATTTATCAAGCATTTGGACGATACGGGCCCCCGTCCTTTGCAATAGAACCTACCTTCAGGACAACTTGAATTAACTCTACTAGGACAAATCTGTTCATCTTCATTTGACAGACAATCTCTTCGACCATCGCACAATTGATCGATTGTAACACAAATATTTGTACATCGATAGATTTTTCTATAATCGGTTGTCAGTTACTTCGTGGTATAGAAATACCAATCAAGTATTTTTTGTTTCAAGAAATATGTAACGGTGTTGTAAATGTCAATTTAATTGATGATCTCGACGAGGAAGAAACAGATGAAACAAATTGTGATGAATGGAAACACATTTGTGCTTTACGTAACTCTGATTGTGAAAGTCCGTTTGAATACAAGGCTACTGCCGATTCACTTCCACATAAAATTGATATGAAATATCATATTCCATATTGTCGAACTAACTATCCAACCGATTATAGAAAAATCTATCGATGTACAAATATTTGTGTTACAATCGATCAATTGTGCGATGGTCGAAGAGATTGTCTGTCAAATGAAGATGAACAGATTTGTCCTAGTAGAGTTAATTCAAGTTGTCCTGAAGGTAGGTTCTATTGCAAAGGACGGGGGCCCGTATCGTCCAAATGCTTGATAAATGATGTAAAATGTAATGGAGTATGGGAGTGTTCAGGGTATGATCATGAAGATCGAGATGAATTATATTGTAACTTAATACCACAATTTCGTCCATACGACTCATTTTCATTCAATCAACATAGTCAATATCCGCCAATAGGTATTATACACTATGAAATGAATTATATTCAAGAACAACCATTTCATGTACGTCATCAGTTTCATACGCGTCGTTCATTGATTGATAACTTAACTATTACTTATGCATGTAATCATGGTATATTAGTTCACGGTGTTAATGACTCATACACATGCTTTTGTTCTCCGGCTTATTTTGGTGATAAATGTCAATATCAGCAAGAACGTTTAACTGTTCACTTGAGATTAGAAACAACGATAATAGATGACGCTGACACATATAAAATCCTTATTCGTCTTCAAACATCAACGAATATGTTTTATGATTATATTGATTTTACATTCATCAACTATGATCAAACACCATATAAAACCGTTGTCTATTTATTGACTCCAGGTCTACATCAACAATATTCTGTCAATATTGATATTTTCCAAATAACTAAAAATAATGTCTCCCATCATTCATCTTACCATTATCCAGTGTCATTTACATTTTTACCTGTTAATCGTTTAGCGAAACGAATAATCATTGAAAATCAAATGAGGTCAATTTTATGTTCTATCGAATGTTCATTAAATAGTCATTGTATGTCGTATGCAAATAATGCAAATAAACATTTTTGCTTGTGTGATCCAGGTTGGACAGGCGATTTATGTGATCAGAAAGTAATGTCGAATTGTTCATCAGTATCGTTACCATTTCATTCAAAATGTATTTGTCCATTAGGTCATTTTGGTGTTAATTGTTACATAAAACTTGATCTCTGTCGTCCTAATAGTTGTGAACATAATTCAACTTGTCTATCATTTGACATAAAGTCACAAAAGATCATTTGTCTTTGTCAAAAAGAGCATTTTGGTAATCGTTGCCAGAACTCAGCGGCCAACGTCCATATACGAATAAAAAAGCTATGGAATGATCCATGGTTAATAGCAAAAATTCCGGTAATGCTTGTTCACCTTATTAATACTAGCAGTATGCTTAGACTCGCTAGCATACATGATCGTCTTTTGTTTAAAGATCTCTCATTTGATACGACCATCAAAGTTACCTACAAAAACCATCCAGCTTTACCGACATTTGTTTTGGTTCAGATCTATTTTGATACTCATCACGATACTTCATATGGTAGTTATCATTTAGTCGGACTCTCAGTATTTGCGATTTCATCGATGCACACCAACATACTTGAGTCTAATCGATGTCCTTATGTTGGTGATCTTATCAAAAACTCAACTATCATGCAATATTCGTATCTACATCGTGTAAAATATTATCATCGTGCCTGCTTTATTCTCGGTACTCATTGTTTTTATGACGAACGATACATCTGCTTGTGCGATAATAATGCATATTTCGATTGTTTCCTGTTCAATCATTCTGATAGTGATTGTTCACATTTGGGTCATTGCTTAAATGGTGGTCACTGTCTCCAACCGATGCAGCCTACAACCGACTTTGCGTGTGTTTGTCCAAAATGTTATTACGGTAGTCTGTGTCAATTTACAACACAAAAATACTCGATTAGCATCGACGCTTTACTTGGATCCAGTATTCTCTCTGGTCAAAATCTGGTTCGCCAGACGGCGA